AAGGACACAAAGGAGGCGCAGCTCCTCCTTAAATGAGAAGGACACAAAGGAGGCGCAGCTCCTCCTTAAATGAGAGGAACACAGAGGAGGCGCAGTTCCTCCTTAAATCGTAGGAACACAGAGGCTGCTTTAGGTTTGAGCAAACAAAGAGTCTGATTCACTAAATGTTCAGATCTTCATCCAGAAGTCTCTGTTCTGTTTGCGCTGCAGCTGAAAGCCACCTGATCTGATCACCTGCTGCAGCCCTGCTGCTCCTCCTCCTCCTCCTCCTCCTCCTCCTTCTCCTACAGGTTAGGGTGGAGCTGTCTCTGCGTGAAATTCTGAAAACAGCCGGTGGTTTCAGGATCCAGAAATAACTTTAGAGTTGGAATTAGGACCTTATCCATCGAACTTACAGTAAGTTAAACTTGTTGTTCAAAGTTAATAATCTTTTCAAGTTAACGCTGAAAGTGACGTAAAACACGTCAGACGTCATTTAATTTATGTCAAGTTTCTCATCAAAAAGGGTATCGTTTGGTATCGATAAAAATTTACATTTTGAGTTTATTTTATTCAATCAGTGCGTTTCGGTGTCTTTTATACCTGTTTCGTTTACATTTTCAGCGTCCAAAGGACACTGAAGTTAGTTTCCGATTTGAATTCCAGAGCTTTTTGCTTCAAAATATTGTTCTTAGACCAGTACAGAAATATTCATTCCAGATTTGACTCATCTAAATAGCCTTATGTAATTTTTGAAAAAAACAACAACAAACATCTAAGTTACTTAAAAGTATTGTAATAATTGTTTCTGTAATGATAGGTAAAAAAACAAAGCAAAATAACAATCATTAAGGGTTTATATTTTTTTTAGTGTCCAAAAAAAATAAAAAATAAGAGCTGTAGTTGGAGACAAAGCATTAATGTTTTCCAAATCTAAAAAAACCTTGTAAAGGTTTGAAAAGTACAAGCTTTTCAATATTTACACAATTAAGGTANTAAAGGTTTGAAAAGTACAAGCTTTTCAATATTTACACAATTAAGGTAGGCATTAAAGTAGGTATTATATGTTTTTAGTCACCACCGTATATGAGTTTGACATATCTTTTATTTTTTAACCACATTTCTTTATGTGAAAGCCATCTATGTTGGCTTTAATGTCCACAAAATTATGTTTGTATTTCAAAATAAAAAAGATTAGGGGTTTATCTGCTTAGTGGGGCAGTTTTTGAAATTGCTGCTTTTTAACAATAAGGCCCTGGGTTCAAATCTTTCTCCCAAAAACAGGCATATTAGATAAATTAGTCTCCATAAACAGCAAGACAAGGTAATTTTATTTGTATAGCACAACATGGACAATTCAAAGTGCTATACATGAATTAGATAATAATATAGAAGAAAAATAAAAGCAAAAACATTTGCAAAACAAATACTGTAAAACAACTGGACCACAAAAAAGCAGAATAAAACAAAGTTTTAAAAAAGCCCCTAGGAATGAATGTGAACCTGTAATTTTTTTCTTTTTTCCACTCCTGTCTAAGGTGTCTCTGTTAACGGGTGAAAAAAAGAAAACGATAGATGGAAAGTTTTTATAAAGAAAACCCATATAATATGTTTTTTTTCCCCAATATGTTTTACTAAAAAAAATTAACAAAACAAAATGGATTAAAATACAAAACAAACTGGATTTAAAAGGTTTATTTTAAAGGAGCATAAAGTAAATCAGTCTCGATCTGACATGTTCTAAAGCTTTTGAAGAAAACTTAATGTGGTTGTCCTAATGCCTATAAAAAACTTAAAATTAAAATCGCAGACTGTGGTTTAAGGATTCAATAATCAGTCCAGGTCTACGGAAGAGGATTGGAGCCACTGAAAAAGTAAATCAAAGTTGACTGATTTTTACATTTTATTTCAGTTTAATATGGAGAACAAAGTCAGAATTCTGACTCTAATCTCCGAATTCTGACTCTTTCCTCCGAATTCTGACTCTTTCCTCCGAATTCTGACTCTTTCCTCCGAATTCTGACTCTTTCCTCCGAATTCTGACTCTTTCCTCCGAATTCTGACTTTTTCCTATGAATTCTGACTCTAATCTCAGAATTATGACTTTTTACTAAGAATTCTGACTTTTTTCCCATATTAAACTAAAAATAAAATTAAAAAAAATCTGTTGACGTTATTTTAATCTTTTCAGTGGCCCTCATTCTCTTCAGTGCAGGTCTCATCAATAGAAATACTTTAGATGTTTAACTAGAGCTCTTAAAAGCAGGTGAAGATCTGAAATGGGTGAAATGTCCCTTTACTGCGGTCTCTGTCAGGAGCTACGATTCAGACGCAAACTTCAACGTCATTGACGTCAACCTCGTTTCCGTCAAAAAAGAAAAAGCTGCGAAAATTTTCAAACGGCACATTTAAATGTTAAAAGAAGCACGATCGTTTCCTTGAGTGTATTTAACGTAAAGGTACATTTTCCATGTTTCAGTGTTGGATTAAAGGTGTTTTCTGTGTTCAGCAGGTATGAGCCAGCCGCCCCGCTTCAACAGGGGACACCGGGAGAGGAACGGGGAGCGCCGGGATGACAGGCGCTCCTCTCCCAACAGGTGAGGAAGAGAAAATATGTTTGTTTTTCTCTGGTATCTGTATAACTGTAGGCATATGAGCTTCCAGCGCCATATGTCTGCTAAATATATATAAAATAAGGCTATTTTCACTTCAAAGGGGCTTGATTTTTTTTTTTACAAGTTACTTTAACAAACTGTGTGGTTTCACACAGGGGTCAATAGGGGCCAGCAGTGTCCCTAAAGAACAGATTCTGGTCCCTGCACTTAAAACAAACACTGCAAAATCAGTTAAGTGTATTTTATGTTAATTTAAGCAGGTAGGCAGAGGTGTCAAGTAACAAAGTACAAATACTTTAGTTCCTGTACTTAAGTACACTTTTGAGGTATCTATACTTCATTACTTATTTTTCTTCCTACTTCTGACTTCTACTCATTGCATTTTCACACAAGTATCTGTACTTTCTATTCCTTACATTTTTAAAACAAACGTTACTCTTGGCTTCGGTTTTATGTTTATAAATATTTATTTCCCGTCATGTGCGCCATCCAATGCAGATCATTGGCTCCATCCACATCTAGTGAAAATTAGTGTAATTGGATGAGTTTTAGAACGCAAACACTTATTGGTTAGCTCAAGGAAATCATCAGAAGCAAGCAGGCGTTCTTCAAACTGCAATCGTGAATTGTCTATTCCATGCTACAATGTTGGATTCAGAAAAAAGATGTTGAAATGTCTGAAAGGTCGGTCACAGACGAGAGCGTATCGGGAGATTGAGAAGGAGACCAATAAGACCTCCCTCATTGTTGGCCCTATCTCAAAGAATTTTTCGAAACAGTCGAAGCATTAAGCTTTAAAGGTTACTTTATACTTTTCTTCTTTAAGTCGTTTTTGGAGCACATACTTTTCTTTTCTTAGGGCGACAGTGGCGTTGGATGTAGGAGTTTGCCCTGAAATCGAAGGATTGACGGTTCAAGCCCCGGCTCCGACTTTCAGTGTCGTTGTGTCCTTGGGCAAGACCCTTCACCTGCATTGTCAACTGATGGTGGTCAGAGGGCCTGGTGGCGCCGGTGTACGGCAGCCCCGCTTCTGTCAGTGAGCCCCAGGGCAGCTGTGGCTACAATGTAGCTTGCCACCATCAGTGTGTGAGTGTGTGCATGAATGGGTGAATGACTGAATGTAGTGTAAAGCGCTTTGGTCAAGTCTCCTGACTTGAATAAAGGCGCTATAAAGGTACATGCCATTTACTATTTACCATTTACTTTTTCACTTTTACTTGAGTAGAGGTCAAGTTGATACTTCAACTTTAACAGAGTGTTTTTAAACTGCAGTATCTATACTTCTACTTAAGTAACTAATGTGTGTACTTTTGACACCACTGCAGGTAGGTAAGACAATGGGACAATTGAATAAGCATATTTACCTTTAAAGTAAAAAAAGCAACATCATTATCATATTGAATTATCTTAGAAGTGCAAATATATTAATTCCCTTGCTAGGTCGTCTCATTTAGCTGCTCAAATTAAGGGAAAACACACTTATTTTTACTGAAATGTTTACTTACAGCCATTAGACTGCTAAATGTTATGTATTATGGGTTATTAAAAAAAACAAAAACTGGAAGTTAGAACTGTACCTATACAGTCATATGTTTACATTACTGTTTTTTATCACAATTTTTTTTTTTTATCACTGCTGCGTACCTTTTCAAGGCTGCACTTAATAAAATGCAGTAGTCTAGACTCTAGAGGGCTGTTCTTAACCAAATTAGTTTTGTTTACACTTGTGTGTACAAAATGACAAAGTAAAATCTGTCTAAGTCTCTAATTCTAAGTCAAGATGAGTTTTTGCAGTGTAATACTAATTAAGTTTCTCTTGTGCTCTGAGAAGTTTGCAAGTACCTGCTTTGATCCCCACAACCTCCACTCTGGGTTCCTGAGCTAAACCCTTAATCCCACACCGCTCCCCGGGCGCTGCACAATGGCAGCCCACTGCTCCCCAAGGGGATGGGTTAAATGCAGAGATATATTTCTCCAGTGAGAGATCAATACAGTTTAATTATTGTTATGATATGCTGACAGAAGAGACCAACTGATTCATCCCTTGGAACAATTTGAGAAGTAGCTATTATATATTAGATATTGAGTTTGTCATTCTTTGTTGGTTGGCCCCCATGGAAAAGGCCCCGGCCATACCCAGACCCCCCTGGTACATTTAGTCTAGAATTGGAACTGTTTGAAATCACTTGTGCTATAAAGTAATGTCATTTGTTTTGTGTATGTGTGTATTCTAGCACCTCCACCCGACCCCCTTACTACCCTCGAGAAGAAGACCCCCCTCCCAAGCATCACCGTGACAATCCTCGGGTGGAGCACCGTGACTCCAAATGTAACAACATCTGCTCCAGGAGAGGTATGTCGGCTTTCAGAGGAAATATGTCGGCCAAGTAAAGTGAAAGCTGCTCTGAGAGCAGCGGCAGAGTCGAGAGGGTGGACTTTGGTTTCACAGCAGTTCATTTCCTGTCTTTCTGAGGACCGGTCCGACCGGTTTACTGCTGTCACAGTTTCAGCTGAGGAAGGCCGTCTTCTTAGGAAGTCAAACCTAGAGTCTCCTGCTTTGATTCTTGGAAAAAAAAAAAAAAAACAAGTTCATCAGTGATCTGTTTGTTTTGTTTATTTTTTCCCAGCGTTTCATAATATTAGTCGATTAACAGTACTGAAACAAAATATTTGTTCCCTCATGGATTTGTTTTTTGCTTTTTCTCTTTGTATCAAACAAATGTAAGCTCAAAGTAACCTAAAGACTAGTTTTAGCAAAGTATTTTTAATACCTGACTGAAGCGGTTTAATCTCATTCTTTGCAGAAATGATTTTATTCACTGATGAAATGTCTGAGGTGGTACCACAGCCTGTTAGTTAGCTTCAAGTCCAGACTTTGACTAGGCCACTTTATGGTTTTTGTTGAGCTGTCCAGAGGTGGACATGCTGATGCTTTGGATCATTAACTTTGTTTACATGCATAAAATTTAACGATTGATTTGAAATGTAGAGTAAAAAAACAAAATTTTTCTATTCTGTTCATATGGACAGAAGTAATCAAAATAAAACAGCCACTGTAGTGTGATGTCATTGTCCGTCGACATGAGCAGATCAAAATATTCTGATTGACACATTTTTCAGCCGATCAGCTGTTTATTCTCCGTGTAAATGTAGCTGCTGTCTCACCATCAGAACTTAAATCCCCATCTTCTCTCATGTCCTCCCCAGGCATCGTGCTAATCTGCTCTGTCCTGACCAACGCCCTCGTGCTGATCTGCGTGGTGGCGGCTCAGATGGTGATGTCGGGCCTATCCTCAATGGGTGGCATGGGTAGTTTCAACATCAACAGCAACTTCAACATGCAGGGCACTGAGCTGCAGCAGGTCAGAGACCTGGACATGCAGTACAGCCAGATGAGGGCGCCCGGCATCTATGGCGGCATTGCCTTCAGCCTGACTTTCGGGGTACTATCATTGCTGTTTGTGGTCGCCGGGAACAAACCTCCCCACCGCATGTCCAAGAAGCTTCTGTTTGGGGCGTTGGTGTTCCAGGCGGTGGGCGCCGTGGCCTATGTGGTGGCCGTGGGGCTCTACCTCCACTTCGTCATACAGGTCAACTCTACAGATATATGCCGCCGCCGTGAGATCCTGTACAGGCGGAACGGCTATACCTGGATGAACTGTGATGTGAGCGGGGCTGATGCCGCAGTGGCGCTGTTCGGGCTAATCACCGCCATCCTGTACACCGCCGGCACCGTGCTCACGGCTAAGACCGTCAGATGGGTGAAGCGCTACCAGCAGGAGAAGAAGAGGCGAGAATTGGAGAGGCAGCAGGGCCGGGGTAACAATCACTGGACCCCAGTAGGGGGTGATACAACCTCTGTGTGAGGCTGAAGGTGCTAAATCTGCTCCGTTCCATCGGTTTCCCTTATAAGCAGGAGAGCCGCTCCAAATAAAACTGTTCCTCTTAAAATGAGGCGTAAAACGGATCATGAAAAACTACGATCCTGAAATGGTTAGAGGTGATGTGTTTACAGAAAAACAGGTTCTAGTTCATGCTGCAAAACCTGAGGAATTAGCATTAATCACAGCTGCATCCTTTATTGTTGGTGGATGCCAGGCCTTTAAGGCAAGTGTTAAAATTTAAGATGAATAACCAGCAGTTTTCAGCTTCTGTAGCTTCATCCAGCAGCAGCAGATCTTCTTTTTTATTGATCAGAGATACTATAATGGAGCTGCTGCCAAACATTTAACAATGATGAGTAGAAGGGGTCCTGAAATCAGATGGGACCTTGCACAAAGAATGTTTTATAGAAACTGTGACTACATTTGACTTCAGCTGCTTGCTTGTGTTTTTGCCACTTTTAGCCTTTATAATCAATGAAGCTCAGGAACCAGTGTGGATGAGTTTTTATGTGCTGTAACCTAATGTCATCTTAAATCATAATTATGGATTTTGTGTGATTGTTTTTTTTCTGTAAAGGAAATTTTTGCTTTAATGGTGTGTGGTCTTTGCTGTAACAAAGCAGGATCATTGAAACCAAATGAGCCCAAAGATCAATGGGATTTATTTTTAATGTGGGTATGGCAGTTATACTGATGTTTTTATAACACTACTACAGGTTTATGCTTTTACTACTGTAGTTGTTTCTAAAATAAAGTTTTTATTAGACCAAATTAAAATGGACTTGATTTGCAGGCTGTTTGTTGTTTACTGCAATAACCTGCCACTTTAGGGGGCATCATCATTGTATTACAATGCAAACCTGCATCCAATGATTGGACATCAAATCATGGGTTTTAGTAAATAAAGAGAAAACATGAGGCAGGGTGTCTGCAAAAGTATTCACACCCCTTTAAACTTTCCTATTGCAACCCCAAACTAACATTTTATAATAGGGCAGGGCAAAGGTATCACTATTAATGTGGAAGGAAATGGGTTTTAAGATAATTTACAAATAAAAATCTGAAAGTATCGGCATAAATTCAGCTCAACTGTTATTTAATTATTGAATGGGTATTAATCTCAGTATGTATACTGCTGTTTTTGATGGTAAAAAGTTCTCCTTAAAGCCCATGAATCAGGTCAGGGAAAAACTTGGCGTTAAGGCTAATTTAGGTGAGGGAAACTGTAGAATAGGTTTGGATCATCAGAGCGCTCTGCTCAGTCATCTGCAAAATGTTCATAGTATAACACAACTGAAACTATAACAAGAGAATATCAAATGAAAGCAACAGGCCAGACCTAGACAGCATTAATAGAAGCGGCCAAGAGGCCCAGTGTAACTCTGGAGGAGTTGCAGAGATCCATACCTCAGGTGGGAAAACATGACGGCACTCCACAGATCTGACTCTGATGTGGGAGTCATTAGAAGTCGTCGTTGCAAAGCTGCTACAAAAAGTTCTGTTAGCACTTTCTTTTTTTCCCAGAGAAAATGTAGAGAAGACAGGAAAGATAGAAAAGGTGCTCTGGCCATGTTGGACCTGAAAGGGTCTGAATTACTTGGCAGGTGTGATGTGTGAACAATACTGCCCATCCCTCCGAACATATATTAAGTTTTATTTATTTATTTTTTAAACTAAAGCAGTACCACCAAGTTATCATTGGGTTTTTATTCTGCAATGCTACGATAATCCTAGAACCTTATCTATTCAACTCTGGATGAGGGTTTTGCTGGATTATTTACACCTGATTTAACATAGCCACCTCCTCAGTCTGGTTTTAAGCTCAGAAAAGCAGATAAAGGATGTGCTGATCAAGCTAGCTCTTGTTTTAGCTCTTATTCTGGATTTATGAATTCTCCATCTGTGAAAAAGCCCTCAGCAGACAATCCTAAACATATGGACTGACCTACTAGGTTATCATTTCATTTGATGGACATAATGTGACAGAACATGGAATTAAAGAGAAGTTAGCCCTTCTAAAAGAAACTTTTTTTGCTCCCTTCAGTGATCGTTGAAGGGGAATAAAAGCTGCATAAAAAGACAAAGGAATAAAGTAAAAAGTCAACATGTTGCAGTTATCTGAAAACTTTATTGTTTAGCAAAAGTAGGTCTCTTGTGCTGTTTGCTGTAACCCTGCTCTGTGCTGTTAGTAACTACAAACACTGCAGCACCACCTAGAGAACACGGACCTGGAACGTCGTCAGCCTTCGGGAATAATCATCTTTTCTCTCAGAGAACATTAGTGAAGCCTCAGTGACTAACTCACTTTAAAGTATTAAACTCCTTGGAGTTAGTTAACAGTTCCTAACTCCGACACTTGTAAGGCCATCAGCTGCGACCCAAACGGGGAAAATATCCGCTGGTCCGGTTCTTATAGTACCGTTTGACGTAGAACTAAGCTTAAAAGCTACTACAACGCAAAGTGCTTCTTCATATCATAGATATGGTAAAAGTAATTTACATGAAGATTTAATCAACAAAGTTACAAAAGTTGCATTGTGTTTCAGGGCATGTTAACAGTAGAAAATAAAGGGAGTAAGAAAACCTCAAGAATTAGTTTTCTTTGAGCTCAGCGGCCAGCAGATTGGACTCGGTTTGGGAAGCTAGTTGGAAAAGAGGATGATGATGCTGACGGTAGCAGTCAGAGAGGTGTAACGAAATAGTCTGCTGGTCTCTGGTAGTTGTGTGTCTGCATCTGCTCCTGCTGTTGCTGCTGCTGGATGATCTGCCGGACCTCCTCCTCCAGTTCCGGTGGGATGATCAGCTGGTCGTCCGGGTCTGGCTGGGCCGGGGCGTTGAAGTACCCCCCCTGCTTTCTGATGGGGGCTTCTGCTGCTTCCTCAATAAGATCCTGGCTGCGGCCCTGACAGGCTACGGAGCCGTTACCTCGAGCCCTGCGGCCCAGAGTCGCTGAGCGAGCCTCCTGGCTCAGGCCCGGGGAAGAAGGAGGGACAGGCCAGGGAGCTGGGCAGGTCAGGCTGGGAGGTAAAAGCTCGTTAGCGGGGGCGATGGGTTTGTTTTTGCTCACTGCATTAGACTGAGCACAGTTGTGCCGGAGAAGACAGTGGACATCCGCCTCCACCTCCACTCGGCTGCCGTTTGAGAACACGCCAGCGATGGGCTCCTCATCCTCACTGTCCAGGCCGTTATCAGACAGCGCACCAGAGAACTGCCTCTGGACGCCACTTCCACCAATGGCAGGTCGTCGCACGCCAGCCCTGCCTTGAGCGTTAAGATGGGAGCTCAGAGGCTCCGTCTGTGGCGGCGGCTCCTCAGAGGACGCTGTGGAGCCCACCTCACTGCTCATCTCAGAGGTGCTGAATTCGCTGCTCAGCTCACTCATCGTTCCAGACGAGGCGGGTGGCAGCGGGATCCCACCATCGCTGCCGCATGAGTAGGAATGCAGAGCGGGCTGAGCAGCGGGTCCTGGACTGGGTGGCGGAGGGGGTGGCTCGCAAAAACAGCAGCAGTCCTCGGTGATGTTGAGCTGAACGACCACGGCGCTGAGGCTGTCGGAGCAGCCGTAGCTCTGAGCCAGCGTCACCAGCTTCTTAGCGGCCGCTAGTGCGTCTGGAACATTTCGAACTGCTTCAATGGCCTCGGCGGGAGACAGCAAGTCCCACAGTCCTCGACTTCCCAGAAGGAAAAACTCATCTTGAGGGGTGAGCGTCACCGTGGAGACATGAGGGCAGGGTCTCACAGAGGGACAGAGGAAGGAGTATCCCATCATCCTGGTGGAGTCAGTCACACCACTGACCTTGTTATCCTGCAGAGAGTAACAGTGAATAGTGTAAATGAATGAAGATTATTAAAACATCTTATCAAAAGTAACTTATAAAAAAATCATTTAGAGTGAATAAGCTAACATTTGACATTTTTTGATCTTGTTTTTTTTTTTGGCTTTACAACATAACTTTTACCAACATAGCTGCAGGTTCCACTACAACATAGAACTGTGACATTATTGTTGATTATTGTCAAACACATCAAGCACAAGACATAAGATTTCCTTAAAAAAGAATACATGCAGAGTTTTTTTTGTTATCAATACTCATGTTACAATTAGAATAAAGCTTGACAACTGACAAAGATGTTCTTTATATTTACTTTTCTTTACATGCATTTCATTGTTGATTATTCCTTGGATCATTTGGATACTTCTGTTTTTTAGTTGGCCTATGATTTGCTTCTGAAACAGGAAACTTGATAAAATCTTCACAGTAAAGTAATTATTTCTAAACAACAGTTTCAAGACTTTTGGGAGGCATTTTCATGTTCTAAAAAAAGATATCTCTACAAATATTATAAACAAAATGTAACTATTTCCATTACTTTTAATATATTTCATTAGATGTTCCAAATGATGTAAGTAATAATCCAGATTTAACAAACCAAGCTTAGGGCAAACGTGATTATTTTGCTTTGATTTGATTTGATTTACAACAAAGCAGAGATGTATCCCTCAACTCCTCATATGTTCTCCATGTGAGCTGGTTCCCATGGATACCTAACATACACATATGTCAAATAGCCCCAGGGTCTGAAGTGATGAGATTTGTATGAAACAAACAACAAACTGCTGCTCTGTTTACGGTTGTTTGGAGGGAAAGATGAGAACCAGAGAAGTTTCTGGGCAGTGAGGTGAAGCAAGTGGTTACAGAGGGAAGCCATGTGTTTTTTAAACAGAATATGGAGAGAGGGAAGCTAACGATTAAGAGTGCTAGCTTGTTTTATTAGTCATCCAATTGCTGTTAACTAATGACTGTAATATGCTGTGATGAGTGACGCCTCCCACCCAAACAGTAACCCACAGTTGTCTGATGTTCTAGAGCAACTTGGAAGAGTTGTAGCCTCAAACAAGCAGGTAGTAAAACGGAAAAAAGGTAGTTGAAACATTGAAACAACCCCTCCAAGTCTGTTCTAGTGGAAAAGGAGCATTAGTGTGAATTAAGCTGAAGTAAAAACAACAAACGGATACTCTAAGATCATCTGAAGAGTTTGATTCTACCTCTGTGATGATGGCATTGTGCTGTCGGACCCTCTCGTACTCCGACTCCTCTCTGACCGTGTGGATGTCGGACAGCAGCTGAGCTTTCCCTCCTCGACACAGTACGGCCTGACACCGGCCCACGTTGGCGGCTTTCAGAGTAAAGCAATTCCCTGGTTCCCCAGACGCCACGGGGTCGTGTCTGATGTGGCATAAAGCTGCAGCGCCGCCCATCCTCTGACCTGCCGTGCCCAGTTTGCTGCAGATGGCGATAAGGAAAAAACGTTTACAACAAGTAGATGATTTCTTCCTCAATCAGGAATCGTGTTGTGAGCCTTTACCGCTGCATGGTGAGGAAAGTGTTGGTCATATAGTCTTCCTGTCTTGGCCCTCGGTGCAGCTCCTCAGCCAGAACATCTCCCATGGTGCACTGCAGCAGGTAAGGCACCTCGACATTTCTATCTCCATCAAAGACACCGTACAAAG